GTTGCTTAAAATACTAGTGGCATAGGTTTGTGTAACCTTGCTCTTAGAATTGTTTAGGAGAGCTCTAGCTAGCCCGGCTCCTTTGTTGCATAATTGGTATCTTAGCAAGGTGCTAGTGAACATATATAGAGGGGTGTAGTATTGGCTAGACCGATTATTTTAATTCCGCATTTATATCGGTTAGCCAATGCGATTAATTTTAGAAAAGACTATTCACCCTCCCTCTAGTCCGCCATCTCGACCCTTTCACCGTCCCATAGGGATTCTTAATGGCAGTGCTGAGCATATAGATGGGTTCCCACCTCTAGTACATAGATGGTGCATGAGACACTTTGCCGCTAATTTCTGGCGGCGTCAGCGGAAGCAGGAGGTATGTGACAAGGTAAAGGCTCTATGTTGTGTACGTACAGAGCACCAGTTCAAGGAGACAAAGAGAGAACTAGACAAGATGGTAAATGCAGCGGGGAAGGCTTGGTTAGAGGCCCAGATGGAACAGAAGGCTCAGTGGGTGTTAGCATATGACGAGGGGGGTTTTAGGTATGGCATCATGACCACTAACTCCTCGAAGTCCTTCAACCGTGTATTCACCGGAGTTCGATCATTGCCTGTGTCTGGAATTGTTGAGTTCTCCTTTCATAAGTGCAACAAATATTTTGTGAAGAGGTGGGAACTTGTGTAGAGGAATATAGCTGAGCAGGGGCGTTTTGTAAAGGCTAGAGCTGAACATTTGAAGGAGACCGAGGAATTGGCCAAGCAGCACACCGCCGAGCCGTATGGACCTCGCCGCCATATCTTTAGTGTACGGGGCAAGGGTGGCACAAGCTTGGGCGACGAACGTTATGGTGGACAAAACTGCCGAGTTGATCTTGAAAAGGTAGAGTGCAGTTGCAACGTCCCTCAGATCATGCACGCCCCATGCTCTCATATGATCACGGCCTGCAGGGTTCGCGGTTACAACTATGAGGATCTACCATATATGTCACCCCTGTATCTCTGTTCGAACACCGTTAGTATTTGGGAGATGAGCTTCGAGCCATACCTTGACCCAACACAGTGGCCACCTTATAATGGTTATGACTACGTGCCGCATCCGGATCTAATGAAGGTAGGGAAGGTAGGAGGAAGAAGAAGCGACTGAAGGGGGACATGGACGCTATGAGAGGGTACGACGAAGACATGTACGGCGGGGGAGACTTCAACGAGATCCGTGGCAGGAATCTTTGCTCTGTTTGCAAACAATCTGGCCACAAGGCTAGCCGGCATAGAAGACAGCAGGTGATTTTATATTGTGTTCGTATTGCATAACAAGTAGTTCAAATTTTGCAATGCTACATAATATTAATCTGAAAATTGTTAATTTGAATACTTTAACCCTTTGTTTATCATTTTGTAACAGGATGGCCCCTCCCACATCGCACCAGCTGTACCCCCTTCTTGATGTGGAGTACGACGACCCCCTTCTTCTACCGGACGACGAGGTTTCCAAGAGGCATTCAAGGGATCCTTACATTCGTGGGACTTAGTTCATTACGTCAAACTTATGTCGAACGAATATTGTCGTCGAAAACTTGTAGACTCATAAACCAATGAATTACGAGTTCCAGTACTATCTCAGTCCTATCACTAGGGACGAGTCAGACGAGTATCGCTGCAACGTTCCTCTTATTTTTCTTCCACGTAGTTGAGATTCACATACCCGTCAGGGTCTGCAGACAGTTTGGAAAAATGGCAGGCTGCATACCACCGCTTTACTCCACCAACCAAGGATTGCACGAGTGAGTTATCGATTAATAATAGAGCTACAATTCAGATGTGTGTGTGGTACAACTAACATCGTTTTGTTGCAGGTATGACCGCAGGAAGAGGTACAAGACCAAGGATTGGCGCATGACACACAACGCGCACATCCACTTGTGGGAGACCAGGGAACGACAGCCGGTCCATGCGGGTCCCCCACACGACCAACACACCTTCGACGAGTATCTGCGCTGGCTTCACAGGTCTACAAGGACACATATTAAGCCCCCGTACACTAAGGAAGCGATTGATGAGGGCTCGGAGGAAGATGTGATCCAAGATGTGTACGACGTTGCCACTAGAGAGGACACACAGCTACAAAGAGCCCCGCTACAAAGATACGTGGTAAGATACTTGAATGGTACAATTTGTTATCCATTTGATATTAAGTATGTATACTAAAACTGTTCAACCACGTTTCTGTACCCAGGCGACACAATTGTCGAGGCTGTCCAATGAAGCAGCGTATCGGCTTCACGAGTCTAGAGGGCAGGGGCCAGGCGTTCTAGAGGCTTTTGTGGAGGTAAACATAAACTAGTCCGTTTCGAAATTGTTTCTTTAGTGTATATGCGTTTAGGAAATGCACTAACTTTAACGTCTATTTATGCAGAAGGTGAAGAAGAGCTGCAGGAAGCTAGCTCAAAAGTTGAGCTGCATGGACACTCCTTATGAGGAACCGCCACTCCCGGCGTGGTCGGGTGGCACGTCTTCAGCCCCTTTGAGGACACTAGCCGGCTCTTCTCAACCGGTGATAGGTGCCACTTCCGCGGTGCGTACAACACCACATCATAGCGCTAGCAAGGACCCTACAACCGAAGACGACGGTGACGACGATGACCAGTGGGAAGATTGGCCGCAAGACGAGATCGGCATGTCTCAGCTAGGTGGTGCCCCGCTTGGTACCCAAGGAGCCTCACAGGTACTAACAAAGGTAGTTTCTTTAAATACTTAGGCTACATGAACTAACGATCATAAAGAATTCTAAGTAATCGTGCATATCACATACTTGTAGGGTACGAGCCGTACGCACCGGCAACGCGACCACACCGACGTTGGCTACACTCCCAATGTGTTGCCAACAAATTCGAAGAGACAAAGGCGCCCGAGGGATCCTTACACTCCTGGGTCTTAGTTTGTTAGGTCAAACTATTATTGACGTCCAAACTTGCAGGCTTAGTTAGTTATGTTATGTCGAACTTATGTCAAACCAATTAAAATGTTATGTGGTACCTTGTCAACTTATGTTATTTGCTTAATATCCGTTTCCATGCGTCGCGGCATCACTGCTTGCGAGATTAAGTAGCAACTAGTTTGAAAATCGGTAGTCCTGGGGTATCTCGACGTCGGTGGCCGGTGTCTTGAGCGAGGGGTCGAGGAAGCCAGGGTCCATGGTCGCGTCGCCGCCGATCCTACAATATGGAGCCAAAAATATCATTGGCTTATCAAATTCTCTATTCGGCCGTGAAAAAATTTAACAAAATATAGAAATAAATTCATTATTGACTTTACGTTAAGCAATACTTAGAATAACTCCCACTATCGGTATGCGACGCTGTTCGGGATGGCGCGCGGCGATGACGGCCGAGCTTGCTTCTTGTCGCTTCGGCAGTGGTGTATGGGCAATGGTTTTATTTTGCGCGCAATAGCGCCATGTCTCGTATGGCGGCGCATCATAGCGCATCAAGATCGGTGGCGCGCAGCTCACATCAAATCAGCGGTCGTGACCCGATTATCGCCACGTCGATACGTGTCAAGGCCACCATGCATGGCGCGGCACAGGCATTTGGCCGCGCTAGGGCAATAGGCGCGGCAAAAAGTGTTAGTTAAAAAAACCCGGCCGTGTTAGATTTAAAATTAGTTTCCAAAAAAGTGTTAAAATTAAAAAAAATTTCGCTACCGCGGGCTTCAGCGATGGAAAACAAAACAATGGATCAGACTGGATTCTTTCATTCCCGTGAAATTGCTTTGTCGCTACAGTATTCCGGAGGAACGATTTGGGCGATTCCTCCGTTCCAAACGCTCACATGAGTTTCCTTTCCTGTGTTTCTGATTCCTACAATTTTCCTATGGTATTCCTTCAATCCAAACACAACCTAAGGGTCTGTTTGGTTTTATCGACTAAAGTTTAGCTATTAAAATTAGTGACTAAATTTTAGTCACTCCTGTTTGGTTCTAGTGGCTAAAAGTGATTAAAGGCCATTAAAATAGTTCAACAAATACCAAACTATCCCTAATGAATGTCCAAATCAAAATGGGGGCCAGCAATAATGAGGGGCAACCCTTATCCACTGTGCACTTTAGCCTACTTTTAGGTACTAGTCAGTTTGTTTGGCACTATAGTAGTTAAAGTGGCTAAAATTTAGTAGGTAGAGATTAGTCGGGCTAACCAAACGAGCCCTAAACATGCATAGTATTATATCACAGGATCACAGGACACACATGCAGCAGCGCACGGTGTGGGTAAGGCCCTGTTTAGATTCAAATTTTTTACGCATTTCCCGTCATATCGAATCTTGCGACATATATATGGAATACTAAATGTAGACAAAAAAAAAACTAATTACATAGTTAGATGAGAAATCACGAGATGAAACTTTTAAACCTAATTAGTCCATAATTAGACATTAATTAACAAATACAAACGAAAATGCTAGAGTAGCCAAAATCAAAAAAAAAAATTGTATCTAAACGGCGCCTAATTTACGACCAACGCCGTAACAGACGACAGTAATCCTGTACGAAGATTTCTGAATAATGATTCTGTACCGTGCTCCTAACCCTACGACCGAAATGATTACTCACCGCCACCCCGCGGCCCCGCCATCTGCTCGGCTCTCCCGGTCCCGGCCAAGAGCGTGCGTGGCCGCCTCCTGTGCCGGTGTGCCCCTGCTGGCTGCTGCTCTGTCCCCCACCACCACCGTCACCCCAACCTCCCCGTCTTGCGGTTACAGCCAGGCTCCATAAAAGCTCCTCCGCTCGCCGCCGAAGGGCGAAGCGGATTAATCCCTCCAGCACCGAAATGACGTGATCCCCATTACATTCACCCTCGTCACTGCACCTGCCGCCGTGGCCGCGTGCCGCCCTTGAAAAATCCCACCACCACCTTCCTCTCCCTCCACTCATTCCTGCTGCCCCCGACACTCTACTCTACTCCCCCACTCCACTGCCCCAGTCCTCTCACCGCCAGCCATAGCGGCAGCACAATGCAGCCGCCTACCCTTCTCCCGCTCGCCGCCGCCGCCGCCATCGCCGTCCTCCTACTCGCCGTCGCTCCGACACCCGCCGTCTCCCGCCACCGCCACTCGTCCGCCGACACGGAGACGCTCGATGTAGCCGCCTCACTCTCCCGCGCCCGCGCCGCGGTCTCCACCGACTCCATCTCGCTGCACCAGTCCGCCGCCGAGGCGAAGCGCTCTTCACGGGAGGGCGGCGGCCTCACGCTGCGGCTCCACTCCCGGGATTTCCTGCCCGAGGCGCAGCAGGGGCGGCGGCACGAGACGTACCGGTCCCTGGTGCTGTCCCGCCTCCGCCGCGACTCGCGCGCGCCGCGGCGCTGTCTGCCCGCGCGACGCTGGCGGCGGACGGGGTGACCCGGCTGCACGACCTGCGGCCCGCGAACGAGTCGGCGGTGTTCGCGGCGTCCTTGGCGGCGGCGGCGATCCAGGGCCCCGTGGTGTCGGGCGTCGGGCAGGGCAGCGGGGAGTACTTCTCCCGCGTGGGCATCGGCAGCCCCGCGCGGGAGCTGTACATGGTGCTGGACACGGGGAGCGACGTCACCTGGGTGCAGTGCCAGCCCTGCGCCGACTGCTACCAGCAGTCGGACCCGGTGTTCGACCCGTCGCTGTCGGCCTCCTACGCCGCCGTCTCCTGCGACTCCCCGCGGTGCCGTGACCTCGACACCGCGGCGTGCCGCAACGCCACGGGCGCGTGCCTCTACGAGGTGGCCTACGGCGACGGCTCCTACACCGTGGGCGACTTCGCCACCGAGACGCTCACGCTGGGGGACTCCACGCCCGTCACCAACGTCGCCATCGGGTGCGGCCACGACAACGAGGGCCTCTTCGTCGGCGCCGCGGGCCTGCTTGCGCTCGGCGGGGGCCCACTCTCATTCCCGTCCCAGATCTCCGCGTCCACCTTCTCCTACTGCCTCGTCGACCGCGACTCCCCCGCCGCGTCCACGCTCCAGTTCGGCGCGGACGCCGAGGCCGCGGCGGCGGACACCGTGACGGCGCCGCTCATCCGCAGCCCGCGCACGGGCACCTTCTACTACGTCGCGCTGTCGGGGATCACCGTGGGCGGGCAGCCGCTGTCCATCCCTGCGTCCGCGTTCGCCATGGACGCCACGTCCGGGTCCGGAGGCGTCATCGTGGACTCCGGCACCGCCGTGACGCGGCTCCAGGCCTCCGCCTACGCCGCGCTCCGCGACGCCTTCGTCCGGGGCACGCCGTCGCTGCCCCGGACCTCGGGGGTCTCGCTGTTCGACACGTGCTACGACCTGTCGGACCGGACCAGCGTGGAGGTGCCCGCGGTGTCGCTAAGGTTCGGCGGCGGCGGCGGCGGCGGCGCGCTGCGGCTGCCGGCGAAGAACTACCTCATCCCCGTGGACGGGGCCGGGACCTACTGCCTGGCATTCGCGCCGACGAACGCGGCCGTGTCCATCATCGGGAACGTGCAGCAGCAGGGCATCCGCGTCAGCTTCGACACCGCCAAGGGCGCCGTCGGCTTCGCCCCGAACAAGTGCTAGCCTGGCTTCTGGGTTCTGGCTAACCGCCTTGTTTGCCACGGCGTTAGTAATGACTAGTCGGTGTTTAATTAGCGGGAAATAGTTTTTCGGGGCGTAATTAAGGGAGAGGTGGGACCTGCCCGGTCTGGGGACGAGCGAAAGGCAAACGCGAGGACAGACGATGCCATGCCAGGCTGCCAGCCTGTTCGGCGCGGGTGGGTCCAGTAGTGTTTTCTCGGTCTCGGTCTTTGATGAGTATGGATGGGTGTGCATGGGATGTGCGTGCGTGGAGCCTTGTCACGACGAAATGAGGTCATGGGGCTCCAAGTTTAGAGTATTTATTTTTATTTTATTATTATGTCAAGAAAATGGAAGTTTCCATCCAGCGGAAACAATCAGATAAGTATGCATGTTAGTACTAATTTGAAGACTGCAGCAGTAATCTGTGTTTTGCAAGTGTACACCAAAGGACAGCAATTGGTAGAGCAAAGCGTGCATGCTTAGGTACCGTGGCGTTGTCGGCGCGTCTCTTTTGGGGCCGTAGATAAACTTTGGTAGCCACCGGCCGGGATCAGGTCACATGCGTCAGGCTGTTGCTTAACCTCATGTAGCGCGGCTTTAGACCTTCTCCGACACCGCGACAAGCTACAAGACCATTGGTCCTTTATATAGTGCTACAGATAAAGGGTTTAATATCTTTTTTTTTTGTCTTTTTCGACACCAAAATCCAAAGGAGAATCTTTTCTGTAAATAGTTCTTCAGAGGTGAAAATACTCAGATTTGGATTACGTTTCTCCTGACACCTAAAAATAAGTCTTTCATATAGCTACCGTCTGACACCTAAAAATGAGTATTTCATATAGCTATCGTTTGAGGTGATTGATATTACGTGGAGACATATTTTAAATTTGGTTCCGCGGTAGGTGTCCTCGGAGACAGCCTCAAGCGACGCAACTTCACTCGTGCTTTCCTCCGCGAAACATCGGGCCCTTGTATTTGGCTATTTGCTGGGAACTTACCTCCCGTCCACCCGATTCCCCAATTAGCAGGGCTCGTTATGATTATCTTGTGGGGCCCGATTATCGTGACGGTGATGAGGTCAGAAGCGAAGCGAGGAGGAAGTGGATGAGATCGAAGCAAGCCCTGCGCCGCTGCCCTGCCCGCTGTAGCGCTGCTGCCGCTGCGTCCGGTGTCCCGCCCGTTACTGTTGGGTAGCAGAGCAGCAGTGTTGAATGCACCTTCTGCATGTGAGCCCTCAACGTCCCAGATGCCTCCGAAAGAGGTTGTCCCCACCGTTCCATGCCTGCCTTCCACTCGAAGGATCAAGGGTGGCGTGGCTAGCCGCCACATGTCATTCTAACGATCCCTAACGTTGGATTCCAGATCGTTGATGCGAGCAAATCGCCATTCGTCCACACCCTTATTAAAAACGTCATTAAACATTTGTATACGCATGAGATAAAACGGTAGAGTATAGATGTACAACCTACAGTGCTGTTACGGTGTTTCTCTATGGCCTTGCATGATGTATGTGTGTGTGAGCATTTGTCCCGTGCATAGATCGTTTCAGAGTAATGATCGTAACTGCTACTACTTTACGAATAGGCTAATCATGCGCTGCACCATTCGTTCTCAGATAAACAAGGCGCAAACGCTCTAGTTTTTGCATTACAGTCGTACTCAAATAACCTTGCTTGGAATTACTGCCGAGCACGAGCAGTCCTGGTGAGAAGAAAACTGCAGCGCCAAGACAACTCAAGAGTAGGTGGTACGTCGCTAACAATCTTGTTTAGTGCTCACGCACTCACGCTTGCGATCGATTCGCATCCCAACCGCCTACTATGCAAAGAAAATGACAGTGCGCGAGAATTCAAAACAAACAAGATTATGAAACGCCCATGCAATGCATTATGCATGCATGCATCTGGACTGGACGTGCCGACGTGCCGTGTTATCAAGAAACAGTGGCCCGATTTGAGAGTGAGAGGGGCACAAGATCTCTGGTGGTTGGTAACAGATCTTCCGCTAGTTTTGTTTTTTAATCCCTCCCCTCGCCCTCGTGCTCTTGTTGTGACGCTCCTGCAGTCCTGCTGGTTCGCTTTGATCGACCAAGAAGTGGGGATTTGTTTGGACGGAGACGGAGAGGGTAGGTCGGCATCACTAGGTGGGACACGCGTGCAGTTACTCTCTTACGGTGATAAAATTGGTTTCAGAAAAGTTGAATATAATAACCCCCTCCCTCACAAAAAGAAAAATTGGCGAAGGACCTGGAGCGGGAAGACGCAATTACGTGAGCAGTTAAACAAACCTGCAGCGGAACAGCAGAAGGGTGCATCACGCGCCCATGGTGACGCCGCTTGCAGTTCGCTCGAACGTATCAACCATATTTATCAGTTATACAGTGATATAGTGTTTTTCTCTCGCACCAAAATAGCATCAGCCGACCTGGCAGCCAAGCGAACATGACTCTACTATAGCGAAGGACGATGGAGTACTGGAGCCGCCCGGGCGGGCATGCATCGCTGATGATGGCTCCAGAGCAGCACTGCACAGCTCACTCCCACTGCACCCAGCTGGCCAGCTCCCATCGTGTTCGATGTCCTTGTCCTCCACACCTCCACGGTCGGAATCCAAGGTCCCTCGGCACCACCATGCAGCATGTCCCAACCCCGTCCGGTCCGCTGTGCAGGCCAGCTTTGCTCTTGCTCCTGCTTTTTACCTCCCGTCCGCCCGTTGCTTTCCAGCGGAGCGGAAAAAGCCTTCGACTCTCGCATCGGCTCGGCATCGCCTTTCTTAATCGTCGCCGTGTGTCCAGGGCTGAGCACGAGCTCGGAGGCCCAAAGTCCGGCCGAAGACGCGGGCGCCAGCGTGGCGGCGGAGAAAAAAAGGGTCGCCTGATGGTCTCACCCTCAGACAGCTGCGTCGCGCTGGACGCTTCTTCGATGCTTTGACTGCTTGGGGCTTGGTTGGGCAGGCACCACCGCACTATGGAGGCCTGGAGGGCCGGGGCTGGACCCCCGTCCAGTCCAACAGGGAACAGGCCCAAGCGGATGTTTCTTCACGGGCCGGCTGGCCGGGTTTGCTGCGATGCGAGTGGGGTCACATCACTTTCCGGCCTTTCGTTCTTTCGTCCTCTCCAGCGGTGGAGAGATGGGCCAGGGAGCAGCCCGAAATATGAGTATTTGAGGCTTTGCCAACGTCGTGCGCTGCTTCCGTCGCCAGCATCCTTCTCACTCCTCACTCCTCACTCCTCACCGCTGGACGTCCTTCATCTCATATGGGAAAGAAGGGTTGATACATAATATGAAAGGGAGCTTCATATATTGACACACACGTGACGTGAAACGAAAGGTTTGATTTCTGGCAGACAGGGGTATATTAGCTACTCTAGGTACCGATCGAGGCTGTTGCTTTCTTCCTGTGCGTAAGGCGTACGTACAACATTAGTAAAGGCGGCATGCTCTATACTACTGCTACTGACATGAATTCGGCACGCACCAGGCAATACCTGAATTCAGGTGTACCACTCGAACTCGAATAGCTGGATCTTGTACTCTGAGCCGGGAGTTCTTGGCTGGAATAATGGTTGCGGAGTAACCTGCACAAAACTAGCAGTAGCTTTGGTGCGGCCTTCCCGTTCCCGAATCTGTCAAGTGCTCGGTACAACATACTAGGCCTTGCGGTCGTGCAGGCGCGCAGTAACCTGAATGCACGGGGTTGGAGAAAGTCCACGATAATTGCTCGGTGTACGCCACGCCCTGGAGTCAAAATTGGGAGAAAAAGAAGGGGCTTTCCTCTGGACGGCCGCTGGTGGGGTTGGTTGACACTTGACACGCCGCACGAACATGCCCCGCATCACTGCGCACGTCGCGGCTGCAATTTTTTTATTTTAATACTTTTTAAAAACTTTTTTTTAAATATAACATTGTTTTTTTTCTTCAAAACTAACACTTTTTGCCACGCCTATTCGCATGGCGCGGCAACATGCATGGGGCACGGTAGGAGCGGCGACGTGGCAGCGACTAGGGCCGCTGAACGTTGACGTGGCCGGGGCTGCCGCGCCGCGGATCTGGGCGCGGCAACGACACGCCACGGCGTATGGCGCGATACCCCTTTGACACGGGCTCATGTCCATCCCATTTGGAAAAAATTAATACCCTATAAAATTTTAATTGCATAGTATGTCTACCTTCTACTCGAGTATTTTAGGAACTCATGACACCCGAGTGTCACGTGCCAATAAAACACTCGAAACTGATCGGTTCATAGAATCGAGTATTTTAAGGCCACGAAACACTCAAATTTTATAACCAAAGGGTTAAGACCTAATCATCAGAATTAATTCAAAGATAGAACATATAAAATAAAAAATTATCCAGATTATTTCTATGGAAGCCAAATTAGAAGATTTCTAAGCAAAACCAAATAAAACAAAAAAATAGCCAGATTATTTCTATGGAAGCCAAATTAAAAAAATTCATAGAAAAACCAAATAAAATATATAGAAAATAAAAAAGCCAAAAAACAGTCAGATTAAATATTCAAGTAATTCTGATCATTCTCATTTAAGAATAAGAATAATCAATTTACACCAGCTGAATATAGAACTTAGTTCTTTCGTCTCCAACAGACCAACAGGAAAACCCTCCATGGATGGACTTCCCAATCGGTAAGGAGTTTGAGATCGATATTCGCAGGCGCTTTGGTTCTCTAGTGCATCATGAATCCCCTTCTTCGCGGGGCTCGTTTTTTCTGCTCGCTACGTTTCGGAGATTTCTCTTCAGACTCACGGAGGAAAGTGTGGCTCTGGTTTTACAATCTTGCCTGGGTGGTCATGCCCCATTCTTCCATGTGGTGGAAGTGAGCCGAAATCACTTTCGATTCTCGGTCTCTTGCAAAGCTGTGGGATTTGCTATTTACGCCTTGCACAGAGTTATTGGATCCTCTTTTGATGTATACTTTCACCTCTGGAGCAATGGTGCCCCCCACTGGGAAAGGGAAAAGCATCTATGGGAAGAAGA